GGAGAAAAAAAGCAGAATGTGGGTCTAGGGGGGGGGGGCTCCCCTGGAAAAAAGGGACCCCGGGGGGGCAACTTGGTGACTGGCACACAGCGTTTCCAGGAGGCTCTACAGGACCCTTTTACCCTGTGCCTTGCCAATGTACCTGGCCAGCCAGACCTCCGCCATATTGTCATTGATGGCAGCAACGTGGCCATGGTGTGAGTACCAGGTGGGACTGGGGGTTCTGGGGAGGGGGAGGAGATGGGCAGTTTTCTCCTGGGGGAAATGTGCTGTGGGGAGAGCACTCCAGCCAGGCTGCTAGGCCCTCATCTGGGGCCCCAGAGTGCCGACCCCTTCCCACTGCAGGCATGGCCTCCAGCACAACTTCTCCAGCCGGGGCATTGCCATTGCTGTGCAGTATTTCTGGGACCGTGGCCACCGGGACATAACTGTCTTTGTGCCTCAGTGGCGCTTCAATAGGGATGCCAGGGTCAAAGGTGAGTTGGGCCTGGTCTTTTGTATCCTGGGCTAGACCCTGCTTCTACCTTAAAGATAACTGCATTGTGCTCCTATGTTTCTAGAGGGTCACTACCTGCAAAAGCTCTACTCCCTCAGTCTGCTCTCCCTCACTCCTTCCCGAGTCATGGATGGCAAGAGGATCTCTTCCTATGATGACAGGTACTTGCTTCACTCCTGGCCCCAGCCTTGACATTCAAGGAGCCCAGTGGGAGATCAAGGGAGAGTCAGAAGCTCCTGACCTTTGCACTGTTTCTAAGCCTGGGTATTGGGTACAGGGCCAGTTATTTCTTCATGTGTCTCTATGACTGGGCAGGAAAACCTGCCCCACAGTGAGATGAAATGGATGGTAGACAACTGTGTTTGCTCATTCATTTTTCATTCATCAAACTAAACAATGCTTTGTATTTATATAGTGCCTACTGTCTAGGAAATACTGGTTTAATGGAAAGATGTGAAAGCTTATGACATGAATAGCTGACAAATATGTTCTTACATCCTAAATTTGCAAACACTTAGAGAAATTCCCCCAACATTCTGGAAAAACCAGAGTAAATGTTCAGAATAACAAGTCAAATGAAGAAACACAATCCACGCATACTAACATAAAACAAAACATAAATAAAACATGGCATCATAGAAAGATCACTTGACCACCGTAACTGGTTTGGCTCAGTGGATAAAGCGTTGGCCTGCGGACTGAAAGGTCCCAGGTTCGATTCCGGTCATGTACCTTGGTTGCGGGCACAAACCAGTGGGGGGTGTGCAGGAGGCAGCTGATCGATATTTCTCTCTCATCGATGTTTCTAACTCTATCCCTCTCCCTTCCTCTCTGTAAAAAATCAATAAAATATATTTTAAAAAAAGAAAAAGAAAGAAAGATCACTTAACCTAGAATTGGATGATCTGACTTGGAGCCCCAAGTTGTACTACTCATTGACTCTAACTGTGGACCAGTCTCTTAGTGAATTAACCTCTTGTCTCAGGGTCCTCTTCCATTCATTCATGCTCCTTGTGACTGTCAAAAGAAGATAAGTTATGTGCTTTTCTCACTCAAGGTGCTAGGCAAGAATACAGTGATATTCCTGAACTGTTCATGAACACAATCGAGTGTGGCAGAAGGTCTTATCTCTACAGTACCGAAATGGAGCAGAGGCTAAGAGTGGTTAACTCTCTTGGCAAAACCTACTAAGTGGCAAAGGAAAAATAAGAATTGAAAGCTGCCAGATGGTTTAAATGAAAAACACAGGACACATTTCATCCTCAGTGTACATACACCGTGTGGGAAATGGGCAGATTTTAAAAGCTAATTAATCCAATTAAAAATGTTTGCAACTACAGTTCTTGATTCTCCAGGATTTTCAGTTTTAAATGAAAAAAACAAACTACTAGTTTCCAAACCATAATGATTCCATATTTTATCTTTTCAAGTACTTAACTTTTTCTCCCTGACAAGTAAATGGTATTCTACAAAAAGGCAATTCACTGTCTCCTGATACTCTTTTTTTATGTCTAGATTTCACAGATTATCTAAGATATGGAACCTTCTTTTCATACCAGCATTGACACAGAACTGAAACTGAAGGTCAAGTCAGTTGTTGTGAATTTTAAAGGCACATGTTTGTACAGTTGTGTAGGTCCTGACAAGCTGACAGCACAATATGAATTTGGAGTTTTGCCTAGTTACAGTGACTTCACAGTGGTGCATAGGCCAACTGGGTGAATACTGCTGAAGAACATGTGATGTAACATGATAATGGTGCCATGTTACATAATGATAATAGCCTGAAAATACCTTTTTGTATATTACATGACACTGTATACAATTGAATGTCATCTCCTTAATTTATTTCCCAGACAGAAACTCAGAATCAGACATCTGGCACACCCTATCCTGATTAGTAGTCCCTCTGTACCACAGTCTTTCAAATACTGACTGCCCACTTACTGCTAGGTGTGTGGCTTGCAGAAGGAGTTGGGAATGCTGGGAATTTGATTTTGAAGAGCCAAAAGAAACTATAAATCAAACACTTCAGGAACCTGGAGGAAAGGGAGCCCGCTTCTGGCTGGGGTTTTGTGAGAAGGGAGAGATTTGTATTTTTCGATGATAGAGAAGAATATGGGATGAGCTGGATCTCTTGTTTTCTAAACCTGTTCAAAAAGATCCCAGCCTACCCCTTTGTGAGTTTCCCCACACTGCCCAGTTCTATGGAATTAGGATTACTCAAGTGGGGTCCAGGCATCTCCTTTTATTTATTACTTTAAAATTTATTATTATTATTTTTTCTTGATCCTCACCTGAGGATATTTTTCCATGAATTTTAGGGAGAGTAGAAGAGAGAGGGAAAGACAGAAACATCGATGTGAGAGAAACACATCAATTGGTTGCTTCCTGCACAAGCCCTGACCAGGGCCGGGGAGGAGCTTGCAACCAAGGTACAAGCCCTTGACTGGAATTGAATCTAGGATCCTTTGGTCCACAGGCCAATGCTCTATCTACTGAACCAAACTGGCTAGGGCAGGCATCTCTTTTAAAAAGTTATTCTTGTGATTTTGTTCATCAGTGAGGTTTGGGATCACCTTCCTGAATGGAGGGAATAATTTGAGAAACAATAGAAGTCAGAGAGTATGTTTGAAGAAGAGATGTAATCCAATCATTGATTTTGGCTGAAGTTGAGAGTACCTTTGGGAATACTGGGAGAGAGAAGGCCATAAAAGTGGCTGCATCTGGGTTCTACAGGGGTTTAGCTGCCAGGCCTGGGCTTGTGGACTTTATGCAGTAGATCAGTGGTTCCCAAACTTATTTGGCCTACCACCCCCTTTCCAGAAAAAATATTACTCAGCGCCCCTGGAAATTAATTTTTTTTTAAAATTTTAATAGCAATTAAACAAAGATATATGTATTAATGTTTCTACCTTTTTCGTAAAATATAGTAAAGAAAGGTGTAAATTAGAAACATTGAAGTTTGAAATTATGAAACTATTTATTGAACTCAGAATAGAAAGGTAATACAAAAAAAGTTAAAACAAATGCACCTGTGGCCATCACCGCCCCCCTGGATCGCTGCAGCGCCCACCAGGGGGCGGTAGCGCCCACTTTGGGAATCACTGCAGTAGATAATGGGCAGGTATGGAAGAGTTTTGTGTAGCTGAAGAACATGTTCTCTTGGGGAAGGGCAGGAGAGACCACAGGGTGGTAAGTGTCAGGGGACCCCTTAATCAGTATCTCAGTTGCAGTGTCTGAATAGCTAAGGTTGTAATGGTGGGACTGGAAAGGAAGGGGACAGAATGGAAGGCTTTTAAGAGGAAAACCAGGATGGATTTGTGACTGATTGTTGATAGATTTGTGACTGTAGGGTGGAAGAAAGGACCAGGGCTAGATCTTACAGTCTTATTAACGAAGCACAAAGTATTGGGTAGAGGGTTGTGGTGAGTGGAGGGGTCGTTCTTGGGATTCCACATTGGATTGGTCTTTGTTTTCTCTCTAACCTATGTATCCAGTTGGTTCCTTGGTGGCTGGGTCAAAATGGGGGTGGTGGTGGGGACAGATCTCCATCACCAGAAGTGGGTCATGGGAGTTGATAGTGCTCTTTGGGGTTGAGGCTTTAGAGAAGTCCAGAATGCTGCTGTGGTTTTTGAGACAGGTTCATGGTGAAGCTGGCTGAAGAGACCGATGGGATCATTGTCTCCAATGACCAGTTCCGGGACCTGGCGGAGGAGTCTGAGAAGTGGATGGCAATCATCAGAGAGCGGTGAGGGGGCATCCCCTGAGAAAAGGGCTCCGACTCAGACCTTTCTCTAAAACCAGTGCTTCTCTGCCACCGGGTGAGGACTCTGGGAAGGGGCTTGACACGGGCTTGACGGATAATGGCTGACAGCTTCTGGTGGAGTTGGTCTCAGCTGTTTGGGAGGTGAGCAGGGGTCCCTCTGTGACCATTACATTTCTGTTCCCATCCAGCCTGCTGCCCTTCACCTTCGTGGGAAACCTCTTCATGGTCCCTGATGACCCACTGGGGCGAAATGGCCCCATGCTGGATGAGTTCCTGAAGAAGCCAGTCAGGTAACGCTTCAGACTCTTGCTTCAGACTCTCGTGGGCAAGCCTGGCCCTGGCCCCCTTTCTGCAGGGGCCTTGCAGGCCTGGAGACTTGGAGGAAGTGTGACCTCAGTGTGGACCAGCTTAATTTGCCTTTAACTGCTTCCCTGGAAGTCCTGACACAGACTCTGCAGGCTGGGAGGGAAGCTGCTGTTTCCTGTTTTCTCTAGTTAGTTTGCTGGAGTTATTTGGAACGTGGTTGATTTTACTTATGGCCACTTGTATTCAGCACGCCCTCTGCTGGACCACTAAGTAAGTGATTAATTTATTAGGCTAGATTTATAGTAATGGCAAGGTTCACCTTCCTGGTTTCGAAGGAACGTTCTGTCTCCCCTTCTGAAGTGGGTTGATACTGCCGCTCAGTGGTCGGTTTAGGGAACTTCAGAGCCAGGAATAGGCAGGGCAGTTAACAGCAGTGGAGAGCTGGGAGGCCCACTGAGCCTCTAACTCAGCCGTGGGCAAACTACGGCCCGTTTGAAATGAATAAAACTAAAAAAAAAAAAAAAGACCGTACCCTTTTATGTAATGATGTTTACTTTGAATTTATATTAGTTCACACAAACACTCCATCCATGCTTTTGTTCCGGCCCTCCGGTCCAGTTTAAGAACCCATTGTGGCCCTCGAGTCAAAAAGTTTGTCCACCCCTGCTCTAACTTCTCTCCAGGATGCACATCAGCTCTTCTATTCCCTCTGCTTCTTCCTAGGGCACAGGAATCTTCTAAGGCTCAGCATCCTTCCAGGGGCCTCACAGAACACAGTCAGCAGCAGCAGGGGAGAGAAGAGGAGGAAAAAGGCAGTGGTGGCATTCGGAAGACCCGGGAGACTGAGAGGCTCCGGCGCCAGCTGCTGGAGGTGTTTTGGGGCCAGGATCACAAGGTGGACTTCATCCTGCAGCGGGAGCCTTACTGCCGCGACATCAACCAGCTCTCTGAGGCCCTGCTCAGTCTCAACTTTTGAGCCTCACCTGCCCTAGTGGCTGCCATCACATCAGCTCCAGCCTTGCCTAGCTTAGTCCCTTCTGTGATGCTCAGACCCTGCCCCAGACCCACTCTGAGTTGGTGCATTGGGTAAGGGAAGCACTGAGAAGAGCCTTCGTGAGTGGGGAATGCTCTTGCCTGGGGCACTTTGGGGACTTAACGAGACCTGAGCTCCTCTTGAGTCAGGACCTCAACCAGCTCTCAAGGGGTTCTGGTCAGCCTTAACTCCTCAACCTTGCTTGCCTTAGCGCAGGGTTTCTGTAGGGAGTGCAGGCTGCTGGAAAGGCTAGGTCCTGGAGATTGGGACTCCAGTTCCTCCTCAAAGCTGAGTTGGGGATGGAGGCTGGGGTGGGTGGGAGGGGAATGAAGACAGGTGGCAAGGAAGCAAGCCTTTCCTACCCCTGGCTGCTGCTCTGGATAGCCAGAGGACAGGATGCTCCCAGGCCTGGCAGAACTCCTGGGAACCTTGAAAAGGGAATGCGGAGCCCTGGAAAGGCTGGGGTCTGGGTTACAGTGGGCAGCAGGGAGCTGGTGGGGAAAGTAGAGGAAGACTTGGCTTCTGGTCTCAGCTGTGCCTGTCAGTGACCTTGATTGAACTACTTGCCCTTTACTTCTGCCTATAAATCAGATGAAAAAATGCCTGTTGGGAGAAATGAGAACATGGAGCAGGGCTCTTTGGAGGAACAGGACATGGACCAAGTCTCAGGTGTGTCTGTCTGTGGCTGCACAGGCTTCCAAACCAAAACCTCATTTTCAGAGAACCGAGTGTCCTCTGTCCCCAGGGCCTGTGCCCTAGATTTTAACACTGCACCCTCATTTTGTGCCCTATAATGGCTGCGTCCCTTTGGGCAACCCCCAAATCCACATTTACAAAACAGTTAGTTAGGGGTGACTGTTTGCATTACCAGAATACTCTCAGGGTTCCTCTAAATGGCAGCTCTCCTGTTGCATTCAAGTGTTTGTTTACAGATTACCGAATGTGTCAGAAAGTCCCCTGTTCAATGCACTTGCTGTGGTGTTGCGCATTCACCAAATCAATGGAAGCCATGCTCTGCTATGACAATGTTAATGTGATCTGACCCTAGCATTTTCTCTACAGAACACGTATGTTGCATAAAGCGAGGCCCACTTCTGCTTTGTGTGTGTGTGTGTGTGTGTATGGGGTTGGGGGTGGGGGAGGGCTATAGAGGTTGTAACTAGATGAACTAATTATCTGGAAAATGAAAACCGAAGAATTAAAATGGGGAGAATCAGACCAACTGCTGTCCCATCAGAACATCCTCTCCACCCCAAATCCTACAGGTCATTGTCCTGTATCTGCTTGAAGTCCGCTAGTGCCAAAAAACTACCTTCAAGGTGGCACATTACCTCGTGGACAGTTTAGTCTTTTATTGCAGCCCCCAATATACCCTTCTGTACTTCTGCCTTTGAGGCTGGTCATTCCCTCAGGAATAATAGAGGGCCAGCCAACTTCCTAAAGAGTCTAAGACCAGATAAAGAAGAGGGGCAGGCGCCACAGGGTTCTGTGTTTGGGCCCTGCAGCAAGTCCCTGGACATGATCCTTTTCAGGGTCTGGCTTCTGTTCCCTGAGCAGCGTGGGGAGTTGAAGACTGTCACCCAGTTCCTCATTCTAGTGGGAGCTGACTGATGATGGGGAGGGTCCTGGGTCCTAGTGTCTTTGCCCCTCCTCCCTGTTGGGGATGTATATTACTAGACCTTAGTGACTTGGGCTGGGGACAGGTGTGTAGGAGAAAGGCTAGCCAGGGAGCTGACAGTGACTCAAAGTCTTCTTGGAAGAAAGGAGATCGGTTAATATGGCAACTTGGTGGCCTGAGGAATCACTGGTCATGTAGAAATCAGGGTAGGTAAAAAGGGAGAGGGTCCTAAATAAACATTTGGCATTTCCACCATACCCCCCCTCCCCCGGGGTTGTTTGTAGTTTTTGGTATATTCCTTGCCCCTTTCACTTTCAGTGATGGTGGGTGTACAGTAGGCCAAAGGTATCTTCTGTCCTGCCTGGGACTCTGATATTAGGCCTGTCCTAAGCTTCTCAGAGGGGTGCTAGCTTACTCCTCCAGCTTGATGAACTCTGACCAGTATGTGATTGGTTTATTAATTCAGTGACAGATGGAAGGCTGTCCTGGACTTGGGGCCCCCTTTCTTTGCTGGCATCCTAATGGTACCATGTGAATAAGTCAGCAGGATGACCACAGAACCCATTGGAAATGCGTCACTTATCTTATAGTCTCTACTTTATCATAATCTCATGCTCCCAGTTGAACTCTTTTGGCAATGAGGAAACAAAAAGATGTTGCTCATTGTCATTTTCAAAACCCCACATAGAGGAGAGTCATCTAGGGTGACGTTCCTTGAAATACATTCAAGCACAACCTAGGCCAGAGAGACGAGCCAAAGCTAATGAGATAATTTATCTTTATTGCCTAAATTGTAGAGCATTCATTACACAGCAAGAGAAATGGGGCAGGAATGGGACATATAGGGAAACCAAACTTGGAAACTCTTACAAGGAGTTGAAGAGGTTAAGGTCCCAACTAGATGAAATTGCAACCTTGAAACCGTGGGCAGTCAGTTCAAGTGCAGCAACAGAATAATGAGAAGGAAAAGGAAGAGGTTTGGGGTCTCAGGTAGAGGAGTACCTGACCTATTCAGTCTCTCACTGGGAAGCCTCTATTGAGGGACAGGCCTTAGGCCCCACGATGAACCTCCCCACTTAGGCTATGATTTCCTTCAAGGCAGCCCCCAGCTCTGGGAAGGAATACTGGTAGCCAGTGGCCAGTGTCCGCCGTGGGATCACCTTCTGGCCCTCCAGCAGCATGATGGCGCGTTCTTGTCCAAAGACAGCTTGCACAACGGTGCTAGGGAGAGGGATGAAGGCCGGGCGGCCTAGGGCGGTGCCTAAGGCCTGTGCAAACTCAGCATTTGTAGTGGTAGAGGCTGGAGCCACTCCATTCAGGACGCCCTGCACGTGGCTTGCTTCAAGGGCATGGGCCAGGATTCCTGCCAGGTCCCCGATGTGAATCCAGGGGAAGAACTGTTGGCCAGAGCCGATGGGGCCCCCCAGGCCCAGGCGGAAGGGCAACAGCATGTGACCAATGGCACCGCCCCCACGGCCCAGCACAACCCCTAGAGTAGGCAAGAAGGATGGTACAGGGAGGGCCCTCAGCCTCCAGGCAGCCCACTGTTTCTCGTTTCTCCCCATCTCCCTTTTCTCACTCTTCCCCCATGCTGGCTTAGCTCTGTCGTCATCCAGGAGCATGGCTCTCTGGGACTTCCCATCCTCCCATCTGCAAGTGGGCCCGAAGCAGTGGCATCCTCACTCAGGAAGCTCAGCTCCCCTTACCCCCAACTCCCCCCAGCCCAGAGAAGACATTGCAACCCTGCCTGACACGCAGGCCTTGTTCTCACCAGAGCGTACCACCACCTGGCGTGTAGAATCTCCAGGAAGTCTGGCTGCAGCTTCCCACTTGGTTACGAGGTTGGAGAAAAAGTCAAAATCCCCTCCTGGACTGTCCTCATCATACTCAGCAGTCAGGCTGGGCTGGTAGTAAGCTGCCGGTAGAATAGCTCTTGTTTGCCCTGGCTGTCCTGGGTCCTGCCTGGCCTTTTGCCATAAAGGTCCCCCCTTGGCCTTTGGATGTCCCCATGGGACAGAGCCGTAAGTATTTTTCCCTTGAGCTTCTTCATTAGCTGACCTGTTACTGCCTGGATTAACTTACCTTTAGCCGCACAGTGAAGCTGAGAGGCTGCTAGAGTGTAGTGGTTAAGAATAAAGACATGGGCGCCAGGCTGACTGAGTTTTAACCTCAGCTCCACCATTTATCAACTCTGACTTCAGGCAAATTACATAACCTCTCTGTGCAGAATATCTGCATCTTTAAAATGGAATAATAGGCCCTAGCCAGTTTAGCTCATTGGACAGAGTGTTGGTCGGCCTGTGGACTAAAGGGTCCCAGGTTCGATTCCGGACAAGGGCACATGCCCAGGTTTCGGGCTCAATCCCCAGTAGGGGGCGTGCAGGAGGCAGTGGATCAATTATTCTCTCATTGATGTTTCTATCTCTCTCTCTCTGAAATCAATAAAAATATATTTTAAAAAATAATAAAATGGAATAATAGTACCTACCCCATAGAGTTCTTTTGAGGATTAAATGCTGTAATATGTGTAAAACATTCAGTGGCTGGTGTATATGTTAACACTATTTGCCATTATTTTGGTCCTAAAGGTGAAATACAAGAATCAGAAATGCTGCTCCTAAAGATCTGTGCTGTGAGAAGCAAGGGACGTGGTACAACTCCACTCTCTTTCTGAGGGTCTATTTCTCGGCGAAAGTCCACAAAGGTCAGGAGAAACGTGCATGGAACAAGGGCCCAGGAAGAAGACCTCTGGGCATGGATGGCTAGAAGGGCCTGAGCTACCCCCTCACTGTGTACTCTCTTCCCCTGGCTAATGTAAGGGGTTGGTGATTTGGGGCATACCTACACCTGTGACTAGGATCCAGGCTTGGGGGGCTTGTGGGGCCTTGGTGATGGCTCTAGCCAGCAGGTCGGTGGTCTCCAAGCGGCTGCTGAGAACCTCTTTTTGGAAAGCTTCATTCCACCTGCAGGAGAAACACGGGAAATAAGCCACTGAATGCATACATGCACATCTCCCTTCCCCTCTCTTTCCCTGAGGCTCGTCCGTGCCCATTTCTAAGTAAAGCCCTGCATTGTGGCTTAGAGAAATTGTCCATCTCTCCTATAGAGGGAAAAGGCACATCCCTTTTGGGCATCCTGAGTTGTAAGTGAGGACTAAAGCCGACTGGCCGAGTGGGTAGAAGCGAGGGTGGGTTTGGGGAGTGGGGCGGGATGAGCGATCCGGACCCGGCCCCTCCATTCTTCACATCTCAGAGGGTCTGAGTCGTCCCTCTCCACCTCCTGCTCTGAAGGGCCGGTCTTAGGGCCCAGCACGGACTGACCTTCGCAGAGGGTTGAGGATGTTCTCTCCAGCCAGGTTGACGGCGGCATCGCAGCGGGGCAGCCCCGACGTGGCGAGCTCATCCTGTCAGAGAGAGCAAAGCGCACAGTGCCGGCCTCGCCCAGCGCCGCCAAAGGGCCACCCCTCCTCCCCGCCCCCAGCCTCCCGAGGGCGGACATACCCACGTGATCCGACCCGGGCCGCGCTGTCGGGAGACGAGTGTCACTTCGTGGCCTCTGGCTTTCAGCAGTTGGCTTAGGGCTGTCCCAATGAAGCCCGTCCCGCCACCTGATCAGAAAATACGAGGTGTTTGTTCTGCAGGGGGTGCCTTCCGTTCCCGCATGTGGCCCCCTCTTCTGGCGCCAGGCCATTTGCCCCCCGCCTCCTCCCCTCTTCCTCGGCCCGTCTCCGCGATACACAGGTGACCCCGGTCACAGGGGTTAGGGAGATTCGGCTTCTCCGGTTAGGAGGCCAAGGCCAGGTTGCCGGGGCACGAGACAGTGCCCTCCCTCGGGGTCCACCTAGCTCCCCAACTCCGGCTCAATCTTCTTTCCGCCCCCCACGTTCCCTCTTTGCCCTCCCTCACCCACGAGCACCCGCATAGCAACCAGGACCTAACGCGCCTGCGCAACATCTAGAAGCTGGGGGGCGGGGGGGGGAGGAGGAGGGAGGACACGCGCATGCGTTCTTTGGGAGGGGCGCTCTCAATGGGGAGTGGGCAGATCGGGATCGAGACTGGGCGTGGCCCTGCCCCGTGACCCGGAAGAATTCCTAGCAAAGGCGGTACTACACGCAGTTCACTGCGAGGCGTGGCCCGCACTGAGTGTGTGTGGTTGTGTGGGGCCGGCGTGGGCGGGGTGGGGGAGTCGAGGGAGGGGTTGGAAGGGTAGCGGCGGGGTTGGCCCTGGGGCCGGGAAAGAAGGGGAGGAGGCGGGAAGACGCGCTGGAGCTAAAACCCGAAGCTGCTCAAGCCCCTAGCTTCTGGAGGTACATTCAGTTTGGTGGGCCATTACTCCGAAAGAATCCACCCACTCTTACAGTGGATTTCTTTTTACGCGGCCTTTTATTTTTCCTTTGTTCCAGCCCCTTCCCATCGGCGTTTAAGCATCCTAAAGTTTCCCCCGTCTTTAAAGAGCCCTTCTGCAGCCCCCTTTGTCCTCTGCTAATGTCCTCCGTCTTCGCCTTCATTGCCAGACGTTCCCCATGAGCCGTGTCCGTTTTCTCCTTCCCAGTTCACTGCCGTCCGCCTCTGACTCCATCGCCCATCGCCTCTCTCGCCAAGACTGCCAGTTTCTCATGTGTCACTAAAAGGAATGCCTGGTTTCCCAGTCATTTTTCTTGATTTCCGTATCACTGGACACTCGCTGGCTCCTCCCTCCCTTTGTGCAATGTTCATCTCTTGGTCTGAGTGAAAGCCACACTCTCCTCTGGGGTTGTCTCCTCGCTCTTTTCAGTCTCAGTTGCTTGTTTCGCCTCCTCTAAGGTTTAAAATGTTGGTATTCCTCCAAGCTAGGTCCCAGGACCTTTCTCTTCCCACTGTGCACTTTCCCCCAAGCATCTACGTGGGTGAATTCAATTCCCAGTGTTTCAAAAATGTGCCAGATGTTCTATGCAAGTGAATCTCTCCTATGAGTTCATGAAAAAATATAAAAACTCCCCACGAGACATCTGTTCTTAATCGTCTGAAAACCCTGTTGATTTCACTTACTAAATATTGCCCATCTATTTCTCGCTTTGCCACCACCACTCTCCTTCAAGTTATTATCTAAACCTTTGTCTAAATTTCTGCAATAGTTCCCTAATAGGTTTCCCTGCTTCTGCTTGTTTCTCCTTTCCAAACTAGTCCATACATTGCAAGCTGAATTATCGTTTAAGAACATGTGGGAGGAACACTAAGATGGCATATATATCCTAAAAAACAAAACAAAAAAAACTTCAATTGCAAAGTTCCTGGATATGCTGAATAAAGTTTAACATGTCCCCATTTAAATAGCTTGCTGAGCTAACTAGAAAATAAAGGAAATCCTCAGAGACCCAAAACAAAGTGTGCCTTGGTACTGAGGCTGCTTTGTGGTTGTCCGTTTCAGTAACTCAGAGGCTTGGGAGACAGGAGATGATGATTGGGAACAAAGCAAGATCAGGACTGAGACCCCTGCATAAAGTTCTTGGTGGGCTATGTCCTCAGGGAAAGAGTTAACTTAAAAAGCCCACTTAGTATAAAAGAACATGATCAGGAAACTTGTGTCTGTAGGCCTGGCTCTTGGGCAGGATTGGTTGTAGAAATATTAGTCTTTTCTCAGACTCACAGATAGTAGGCAGACTAGCTCTGGTGTTGGTGGTGGAGGTATTGTGGGGGTGGGGTTTGAGGTGGGGGTATTGAGCAAAAGAGGAAAAAACAACTCATGGACATGGACAAGGGATAAATGGTAATGGAAAAAATTAAATTTAAAAAAATTAGTCTTTTTTGAGAAGTTGTAACTATTGTCCTGCCCTCATTCTGTTTTGGAGTTTGAACTCATTAGTACCTGCTTGGTCTAGGAAGCCCTAAGCCAAGAATAGGTTTCACAGGTTCTTAATAGATAAAATCCTGCCAAGCATGAGCACACAATACAAAATTACAAAACAAAGGGAAAGAAACCACTCTGAGGAAGAGTCAGCAGAAACAACACACAGCGGAGTTAGACGAAAAAGGATTTCAGATATTAGAATATCTAAAATGTCTGAAGGAGGAGACATTAAAAACATATGAAAGAGACAAGATGCTAAAAAAAAAAATTCCAGCAGAATTGATAAAGAACCAATTTAAATTCCTAAAAAATTAAAAACATAATGATTGAAATGTAAAAAACCATTGAATGAGTTTAAGCAGCAGGAAATAGATTTATCATTGGTTAAGGGAAAATGAATTAGGTATGAAAAAATTACACATAATGCAGCATAGAGAGACAAAGAGGTAGAAAATATGAAAAAAGTAAGATATAAGATAAAGTGAGAAATTCTGACTTTTTTTTTTGGCATTCCAGAAGAGAGGAGACAGAAAGGGATAGAGAAAATCTTTGAAGAGATAATAGCTGATTAAATACCCAAAGTAATGAAAAATATGAATACTCAGATTCAGTAGCTCGTGCATATCTCTGAAGGTCACGAAATATAAACCTGATGTAAAATCTCTGTCATCAGTGATGCAGCAGCAAAAGTCCCACTGATAATATCAAACGGAGTCATAAAGTTTTCTGTCGGACTATCAGTGTACATGTATACATTAAAAAATAAATGTATTTTTCATCATCATATACTGTGTTTTTGTCGCTCGAATGAATTTTATTATTTCTTCAAGGTTTTTCACATATGTATACCTTAAGAGATATCAAGTAGGTGTAACATGTTCTCAAAAAAATAGGGTTGGCACGCAGAAGAATTTTGAGTCAGAGATTTTGCTGGTTTGGCACGCACTCACAAAAAGGTTGCCCACCCCTGCTCTAGTGTCTAGGTAGGAGATCGTCTGCCACCAGAACTACAATTCCCAGAATTCCTGGTGCTCCCTGCTCTGGGAGTGACCGAGGGAGCCACGTCCCCCCAAGCTGCCGGCTCTCCCATTTCTCTTCGCCCAGTGCCTGTGTATGCAAATTAACCCGCCATCTTTGTCAGGTTAATTTGCATATTCACTCCTGATTGGCTGGTGAGTATAGCGAAGGGACAGTCAATTTACATGTTTCTCTTTTATTATATAGGATTGTTATCTTTCTCCTCTAGCACCTTCCTACTCCCAGATTCCCATTCCCCACTCCACCCCTTGGTAAGCACGTCTATTGATTTGAGTTGCTGCCCTATTAGGTTGCAAAGATATGACATGCAGAACAGCAGTGGCAATTGGGGCTATAGTTGGTGAAGCTTATGGTAGTCCATTGTTATCTGCCATGGTAGATTTGCTTTCCAGGGCACCATCCCCTGCATGCTTTACATCTTTGAGGGTGCCACTAAACTAAGCCATTTCACCTACGATGTTACATTGTTCCCGAGTTTCCACTTTGGCTAGAAGTAGGGAGGCAGCTACACAGGTTTTCCTACCAAAATGGACCTTACTTCATAAATCAGAGACTCATATAAGAGTCTTTCAGCATCTAAATACTGTATGTACATTCCAAGTATGCACTTAAGAGTCAAGGAATTGACCACAGGCTGAGCATCAAGGACCCAAATGACCCACTCTTGGATGGATATAGGTTAGAACTCCATTTATCAGTTGGCATCTGCTAAGTCCTAACTCTAACAGATGGGCCATGATTGCATTTTGGATCACCAAGCATTAGTATCAACTTAGATCCTGTACACAAGAGCCCTCAAAGGTGCTGGATATTTTGTAGGTCCCTTTGGAAAAGGGCTAGAAAAATATTTCCTGAAGGTCAGATCAAGTGTCGTGGGAGGCCCTAATGTGAGCAATTCTCTCAGTTGCAAACAGGCAGTGAAAGACTAGAGAATTTGTTTATAAAATGCTGAACAAAGAAGGAAAGACATAAGGCAGAAGAGATGTTCTCTGAAGCTGTAAGCTGAACTTTGATTAGTGTCACCTCACATTCCCTGGCATGGGAGTGTGTTCCCTCTGTGTGATGGAATGGTGGGAGTGAGTTGTTACTGAGTGATCAAAAAATATTGCTCTGGCTCCTACAATAGCTCTAGACCCCCCATGATCACCTAGGACAGTGGTTCTCAACATTCTGGCCCTTTAAATACAGTTCCTCATGTTGTGACCCAAACATAAAATTATTTTCGTTGCTACTTCATAACTGTAATGTTGCTACTGCTATTAATCGTAATGTAAATATCTGATATGCAGGATGGTCTTAGGCGACCCCTGTGAAAGGGTCGTTCGACTGCCAAAGGGGTTGCGACCCACAGGTTGAGAACCGCTGACCTAGGACCAGATGTCTCTCTCTTGAGGGGTTTGCCTTAAAAAAGTAGCCCTTCATGCCTCCCATGTAGAAGTAAATCCCAACAGTAGCCTTTCTGGGCCTGTTACCACTCTTGCACCAAAAGCTGCTTTAGTACAGGCTTAAGAATCTAAGCCTCAGTGATGTGACTTTTTCCTTTGTATTCTGTCCTTGAAGAGGAAGAGTTGAGGAGCCTGCTGTGTATAGAATGACATGTGGCTTTAGAACTTTCAACCAAAGATATAGGAGAGAGAAGAGGCCAAAGGACTCCATGGAAGGTTCTTTGAAGGACTGGGCATAGGCTGGAAAAGGCCCTCCCCCTCCAGATCCACTCTTCATCCTGCTCTGTGGCCCACCTTCTGGGCTGCTTCAACCCCCCCCCCCCCTTCTGGTTTTCAGTGGGGATTGGCCAAAGGAACACTGGCAGGAGCTGGGGGGGGGGGGGGGGGGAAGCCGGGAAAGTTTGGGGAAGGGAAGGAAGCCGGAAAAAAAGGGGAGGGGGGAATTTTTTCCAATATCTCTGTGCCCAAACCCCGGGGGGGGGGGGG